CATAAGAAAAAACACTGGCAGCATACGAAAAATCATTTAGCACATTCCCTAATAGGAATTGAGCATCTGCGAAATGTTGACTGTAGCTCATAGCCGAAAAACGTGCCACCTTCCCGAGTTGAAGGTGTCCTCTCCAGCCTCTCAGTTCAGGAATCGGGATCCCGCAATGTTTCTCTGCACGATGTTTTGTTTTGCTTGTTGAGAGACTTGATCTCAGAGCGCTTTGGTCTTCGCCACGAGTCCTCAACGCGTGACTTGCGTGTGGCCGGCAAGGCTATAAGCATAGACGGCAGACTAGCTGACTATACACTGTCAAGTAGTTGTGACATTGTAGGTCATGTAGATTGCCGCATGCTTCGCGTCGGTCACGTTTCAATGTCGCATGCTGCAGTAAGGAAGTGGAAGAAATTGATGGCAGCGCAGGACATTGAGGCCCTCATGAGGACTGCGCGGTTGCAACTTCCTTCCCCCCAAAAGCAGCTGATGCAGTTGCTCCGTTTGACAGCGGTGATTGGTGGAGCTGCACATTTTGCAGAAATCCTGGGCTGGATTGTTCAACAAAATATACAAATTGATGTAGACACATACCACAAGGTCCTTGTTGAATTGGTGCTCCGTGTGCCCACACCCGTTGCGATGGTGCGCTTGGCGCTGAATTTGACCGCTCAAAGGCCAGAAGACTTGGTGCCGCTCATTCCATCCGGCTTTGGAGATGAGCCCAGCAAAAGTGAACTTTTCCAGGGCTGTTGTCCGGCTTCGGAAGTGTCGAACAATGACGCAGAGCAGGTGGACAAGGCGTACGCCTCTTTGAGCCAAGTGGACAGCCGCGACCTCATTGGCAAGATTCAGCTGTCTCCTAGCGCGGCTGGATTTGCAGATTACTATTCGCACTTCCTTCCGCTACTCCATCTGGATTTTCTGGAAGAATTGCGGCAGAAGCATTGGATGTGGGAGCGGCCAGCATCCTTTCTGGCAGAATCTGGGCATGCAGCCCTTCGTTTGAAGCCAGAGCCTGGCCCCGATGGGAAGCATTTAATGCTGCTGGCATCAGGACCAGGCATATCGAAGATGGGATTGTCTCCAGGCAGCACGCTGCTGCTTTCCAAGACTGGTGTCAGCGTTCTGCATGGTGGAGCCATCCACTTTGCACAGGTTGCTTTCATGCAGTCACCAGATTCACTGTATGGCATTGGACGTTCATTTCAGACAGAATCCGGTGTTGCAGTGGCAGTCGACATAAGTAAGGAAAAGATAAAGAAAATCTGTAGGGAGGAGGAATTTGTTGATGCATACTTGGCAGTCAATCTAGTTGCCTACCAGCGGCAGCTAGATGCACTCAAACGACTTGTCACACTCGAGCAGCGATTTCCATTGTGGGAGTTGCTCCCCTTGAGTGGGGTTGGCGGGGACATTGTGGATCCGTGGGCAACTAAGATGCGCAGCAAGCTCAAGAAGGCCCGGTCAAGCAAGATGCACCCAGTCAGTTCCCCAGTCAGTTCTGGCTCTGGAAGTGATATCAATGCTCTGAAGCTCCGATCCTTGGCAGAGGAGGACCCCAGCCTGAACGATGGGTTTTGGAGCCCGCGCGACAGACTTAGGCTTTCGGGAGAGCTCACATCATCTCAGCAGCAGGCGGTTGTGGCTGCCGTGAAAAGGCGGCTCACTGTGATCCAGGGCCCGCCAGGCACTGGGAAGACCCACGTTTCGGTAGAGATTCTGCAGTTGTGGGCCAGGCAAGAGCAAGTCACGCCCATTCTTGTGACTTCTCACAACAATGTTGCGGTGGATAACATCGCAGAGGCGGCATATATCAAAGGCCTGGATGTGGTACGCGTTGGTAAGGCTGACCGCCTAAGCCCTGCTATGGATGAATTTTCACTAGACTCCATTCTTCCGAGGGACGAATCTGAAACTCCAACTCAGAGGACGCAAAGGATGCGGACTGTTTTGACGAATGCTGACGTCATATGCATCACGACGATCGCCTCGGCAAGCCGGCTCCTCAAAGGAATAAAATTCGGCGCCATCCTAATGGATGAGGCTGCCCAGACAACGGAGCTCTCCGCCTTGGTGCCTTTGGCCCATCTGCGTGCGGACCGGTTGGTCCTTGTCGGTGACCAGTGCCAGCTGCCGGCCACTGCCCTGTCACTGGAGGCCGAAACGCGCGGTCTCACACTCTCCCTCTTCCAGCGGCTTGTTCTGCAAGGCTTTCCTTCTTTCTTTCTCGATACTCAGTTTCGTATGCATCCTCGAATTGCAGAGCACAGCTCTGACGCATTTTATAGCTCAAAGCTTCTCTCGGGTGTTACTTCCGCTATGCGGCCACCTCCTGCAGGATTTGAATGGCCTTGCCCATCGGAAGGAGTAGCATTCATAGATACCGGTCTGGCCGCAGACTGCGTCGAAGAGAAGAACAGGCTGTCTTGGTGCAATCCCGGCGAAGCCGTACTGGTCACACAAATCCTGCTTAGCGTGCTACATGCTGGTGACTTGCAGGCATGTCAGATTGGAGTTGTCACGCCTTACATGGGACAAGTGCGCACGCTCCGGCGGCTGATGCGCAAATATATGGACTTAAGCCCTGAGGCCTTGCCAGAATTACAAGTTGCATCCGTTGATGGGTTTCAGGGCCGAGAAAAGGAGCTCATTATTGTAAGCGCAGTACGTTGCAACCGTGCAGGGCAGGTTGGCTTCCTTGCTGACTGGCGGCGCCTCAATGTTACCCTCACAAGAGCACGGAGAGGTCTCATCGTCGTAGGTAACGCTTGGACTTTGCGGGCCGACCCGTTTTGGCGCTCTTACGTTGACTGGGCAAAAAAGGAGGGATTCGCCATGGACTTCAACCTGCCGAAGAGAGCTGCTATGTGAAACAGGAAGGCGGATGATGGGTGGTTCCAAAAAAAGGCTGGCAGTCTCGCGTCTTGATGCTATTCCTGGGCACTTTGCTTTTGTCAAGGCTTGGAGCTTGCTTGGTGAGAAAATGTGGGGAAGATCACCTTGAGTGGTAGAAGGGTCCATGAAAGCTTCAAGACAGGAAAGCACACTTGGATTTTCAGGATTTTTGATTGGGATTTAGGGGAT